GCCCCAGCATCTCGGGCAGCAGGGCGCGGAGGAGCCCGTAGAAGAAGCCGACGACCAGCGCCGCCGGCACGGGCGGAAACACGAGGCGCGAGCTGTCAAAGGGGGACTGCGAGGGGACAGGGACAGCGAGAAATGAGCAGGCGGGGCCCCTCCAGACCCCCGTCCCACCCTGGAGCCTGCAAAGAGCCCGCTGGGGACCCCGGCCGACCCTGGGCCAGCCCAGCATACCCCGTCCCCCGAGAGCTCCTCCTCGGCCACTCCACACGCCAGCAGTGGCCTCTCGGAAAACCTCTTTGCTTTTTTTGTTTTTTGGAAAAAAACAAGGGCAAAGCAGCCCCCTAGAGGCCTCCCCTTCCAGATCTATCCGTGGTGGGACCAGCCCTTTGCCAGCGGCCGCTCAGCGGGATGCAGGCGGCCGCAGCTCCGGGCTCATGGCTTCCATGGGGACATTTCCTGCAGTGAAGCTAGAGGGAGCCCCTCGCTTTTAGCTCATTCCATGACTCGGACTCTTGGGGAGCCACGACAGGGAACTGCCATCCCCAGCATTACATAAGGGTGCCCGCTCGGGGCGGCAAGGCCACATGTCACGTCCTAGGAGCTCCAAGAGGCTCCGCCTGAGCAAAGTCCGCCGGTGCCGCGGCCGGCGTGGCGGCCGCCGCTCACCTTGTGATGCTGGCCATGCAACAAGAAATGCAGCGTGATGAGATAGTAGTTACTAGCGGGTGGATTCATGTGGAAGACAAAGCGGTGGATGAGGTACTCTACCAGGGACCACAGGAACATTCCCACGAGGAAGATGAAGGGGAAGTAGTATTTGTGCACGGGGATGGAGTACTCTACACAACGAGACATGCAGCAGTCAGCAGCCAGCAATGTGGGCGGCCCCAGCCGTGCAGCATCTCTGCACCTCGCTGCAGCCCTCCCCAGCTTTCTATTGCACTCCCCAAAGGTTATAAAACAGCAAAAACCCCTTTGCGGTAGCAGCGGTTTTCGGCGAGGCCCGGTGCCCGCCCCGGGCAGGCATGCTGGCCGCTGGCACCGCGTGGCACCTCGCCGAGAGGAGCCGATGGCTGCAAACAGGGCGCTGCAGAACAAAGGACACAGGCTGCCCCCGGGCGCCGCCGCCACCGCCGCGCTTGTTGTTCCTGGCCGAGCCGACAGTGGGAGA